TTAACTTTTGATCATCCCTGAACTGGTCAGGCAGTTGGACTGGATGATCATGGTGGGTCCCTTCCAACTGAAATAGTCTGTTCTATTCTGAAATGTGAGATGTCACTCTGCTACACGACAGAGCTCTTGATAACATTAGGAATTGTGGATTGAGAAACCTTTCATTTGACTCTCCTAAAGTGCTCCTTTTGGGGGTTAGACCCTGTACAGGTAAGAACAACACTGCACTATTACTGCAGAGTTTTTTTGCACCCAGTATTACTCCTGCATTCAGCAGAATGTGTTTCCATCTTCTGAAAATGTTTTATTTGGTCTGTTCCTGAATTAATTACTTTTGTCTCTGGAATGTTTGTGAGGCAGAGAACTAATGGTTACATGCTGGTTATGCTTATGGGTATCTCAAGGATTGTTAGAGGTCTGTGTTTCTTGTCCTGATGGTGCATGAAGCCCAGCAGTGAGAAATTCAAGGAATCCAAGAGGAGACATCTTCCTCACAGCTTTTTACAATAGAGTCGTTGGAGTGTTGTGTTGAGAGACTTGTACTCAGAAAGGCAACGTTGCACCTGCAGTGTGTGCTGGGGGCTTCTGAGAGGTTCAAGTGAGCTGCCAGAAGACCAGGGAGGAGAGGAAAATAAGAGTGGACTGAATCTAGCTTAGCTTCCATGAAGACAGCTAAAGATACCTTATTCTTGAAATGGGAACAGGAGTGAGCTCTCAGCAAAAGTATTGCAGATAGGGTTCAAGTCCTTTCACCAAAAACATTCTTGCTCTTGGAGCCCTAGTGTTGGAAAAAGAAGGGAAGGGATAATTGGACACAAACTCCTTTAGTTCTCAGAGAGTGACTACAATACTCCTGAAGTAATGAATGGAGCATGTCTGGCTGACAGCTGCAGGCTTTATTCAGGCTCTGTTAAACCACGATCTTCAGAGTCTGCACGCAAGCCTGACTTGTGGGAGTTTCTATTGAATGTGTAGGCTCACATAGCCTACTCTCTAGCAAAGCACATTCCTAAAGAAGCCAAAAATCTTGATGGTAACATCGCTTTTAAGCCTCTCATGTTCTTAGGTATTGAATCTAAAAGAAATGGAATGAATTAGTGCTTCATACAATCTCAGTAACAGTTACATGTGCCATAAATGATACCAAGGTATTTTGTTGTGTGGTTGAACTAAATCAGTAGTTTGGTATTTGTCTCATGTAAGTTCCTAGCTTATTTCACATTTACAGTATTGTTAAACTCGACTAAAATTTTTTTATTTTTCATAATAATCCCATTGGCAAGAAAGCATGGGTTATTTTGGGTATATCTGGGAGGAGAATGAACATGTGCTGTTAATCAGAGAGACATGCTTACTTTTTTTATGTGGGAAGTGGGCCAACAGTTCTACCTCTACTTTGAAGTTCACCAAGATAGAAATAATATTGCAAGCTCTAAGCTGTATTCAGTTTCTGGCTAAATTTTGTGTTCTCAGCACATAGTTCTGAACTGCACTTTGTTGAATTTGAGTGTGAGGCTCAGCAAAGATCAATCCTTCTCTTCTTTTCCTTTGAAGAGGAACTATCTGGAAAGGGGCCATCAACTGTTGTAAATGGAACCTTGATCTCATTCTTTGTTAGGCTGTTGGGAAAGTGTTCCTCAGATTCAGTGACCAAAATGGAAGCAGTGCTCTGTTATGTCAGTGATCAGGCTGGTCTGGAATTGTAATTTATTCCCAGTGAGGAATGTTTCCAAGCTGAGAGTGGTTGCCAGTTGTACCACTAGCAAGTGAAAAGAAAATCAACAAATTATTTATTTATCATTGCCCTTCCTTAGCTGTGAGTTTTTAAGTAGCTGAAGTGCAGCCCCTCTGAGCTCATGTTTAGCTACGGGAGGTGTGTCAGTTGACACTGTGGAAGAGGCTTCTTCTGTCAGTGTGTCGTTCCTGAATTACACAGTACACCCCCAGATAAAAGTGCAAAGGACTATCTGCCCATGGATCAGAGTGTGAAGGTGCATGTTTGGCAGTGATGCACTCCCATTGCATTCTGCCTCTTGGAGAAACTGGGATTTCATTTTGTTGTACAAAAGAAGCAAATAAGTGTTATTTTTGTCCTATACACTGAACTCTGGAAAACCCTTTGAAGAACAACTTTCCCAGTGATAGCTAGCCAGTACCTTGTCATGAGTTAATTTAGAGTTACAACCTGCTTTTTTGAGAATGTTACCCTATACTTCCAGACTTTGTAGTTGTTCTTGGTGCTTTCTAGAACATTTAGTGATGCAGTTTCACTAATCCATTTTCTCTGATTACCTCAGTAAGTGGATTACAAGGTTTTTCCATCACTGTAGATCTTGATAGTTTCACAAAATATGTTTTATATTGTTTTTGATATGAGTGCTAAACAAAAGTACTGTATTTTCATCTAAGTCTAAGGAAGAGAACTCCCTTTACTTTGCAGAGTCAGAGAAGCTGTGTCTTAAATGATCTTTCCATCATTCCATAGTTAGGAATGTGATGTCAATGATTTTGTGGCTTCATCCCTCAGACTGGATGACTTCTATTCTAGGTGAGGATGAGAAACTCACTGTAGGAGGTTCCATAGCCTGAGCAGTTTTTAACTCTGTTATGATGCATTTGTGCTTTTTCAGTTAAAGCCACTGAAACACATTTTTTTCTGCTCAGCAGCCTTAAGGATTTGTTTGTTTTCTGCACAAATTAAGATGACTGTTTCTTCTGAAGTTGTACTTTTTATTAAAGTGGCAGTCAAGAAGGGAAGATTTTGTTCAATGATTTTATATTATGGTGCACAGGAAATGGTACATTGAGACAGTGGTTAATTTTGTCTAGTTAAGGCTAGAATTGAGATGTTGAGAATAGTCCTTCCTTGCACCCTCCTACTGGCTGTTATTCATAGCAGGAAACAGCACTCAACCTTTTTTGAAAATTAACTCACTCAGGTGTTGATTCACACTACTGCTTATTCTATCAACAATCTTTAATTGGTATTTTTGTAATTCATGTAAAGTTACTGGTACACCATTTATCTGTATTTGAGAGCCTTGTTTTGTATTTCTGATTATAATCCCTCTGTGCTGATCTGAACAAATTATGCCAGTGTTGAGACAAGAGAGTAAAAGTTGGCCACAGACTTCTGAATGCATATAAATTTCTTTTGTTGGAGCAAAGAGAGGAGGAGTGGATCTCTGACTCAGCTCCCCTCTCTCTCTGCTGACAAACTGTGAGCTTGCAGCTGGGGAAGTGCTATGGGAGGGAAAAATGAAGGCCAAAGTCATCATGTTTGTGAAGCCTTGCCAGAACTTGTGGGGAAATTCCACCTAAGATAATGTCAAAGATACCTCAAAAAGTGAGAGGAGAAGAAGGATTGATAAAAGATGACATTTCAAGCGTAGCACCACGGTCATGTATAATGGAAATGTTGGATGGGGCAGTGGGAACAAAATCGTGTTTCTGAGACTTGAGTAAGACTGTTGTTCATCTTGGTTAGAACAAATTCAGAAAAATGCCAAGTGAGGGGTAGAAATAGCAAGCAAGAAGTGTATTAGAGAGGAAATGAAATGGAAGACCAAAGTCTAGTTAAAGGTTAGGAGCTTTAAAATGGGAACAACTGAATCATGCTTGTGTTCTAAGAGGAGAGACTAGGAAATGCCAGGAACAGCTAAAAGGATCTGCAAGGAAGGAGGAAAGAAGGGATAGAAAATAGAAGTTGCAGTGTGATGAATGAAGACCATGAGCACCTCTCTCAACAGGGGTGGGAGGAGTGACTGAGGGGAAGAGAAGGGGCAAGCTAAGAGGGGAGATAACATGGAGGGGAGAGAGAGAAGATCACGTGTGAGGAAATGACACTCAGCTGAGTTGCTGCCATGAGTACATCTGTCTTAGGCTCCTCTACCACACTCCCCACTCTTTCCTCAAAACTGCACTGTTTTGTAACACTTCTGTGTTGTATTGTGTTGTTATAAAGTGACTTCTAGTGATGTAATGGGTTGTCTCTATAGCTTTCCTTCTCTTGGCCCAGTTTGATGAACAAACAAAGCTCCAGTTTTCCTGTCATTTGATTGAGAAGAGAGAGGAGGGGGCTGCTGACATTTTTGTACTCAGTAGACTTTGTCCTTTCTAGTGGTGCATCAGAGTGTCATGCCCCAGTCTGCTCTGATGAGCCATATGCAAATGAGTGCCAGGAACAGGGCAGAGTGTCATAGAACATAAGAAGAATGAAAATTATACATTTTTCATTTTATATTTGGTGGTGCTCTGGCATGAAAAGTAAGGGAAATACTTCGGATATGAGTAAGACAACCTTTCTCATACTTGTCTGCTGGTGAGGTTGCTGCCTCCTTTTCCCTGCTGCCATTTTTCTGCCTCTTGCATTCATTGCTGTGCTCCTGCCTCAGCCTCTTTCTGCTGCTGACAGTAGCATTTTGGTAGAAAGCTTTGAGTTTTAGGTTCATACATACATTTTTTCTTTTTTTTTTTCTAACAAAGGAATTACGTATTAAGGAAAAAAAATCAATATGTGGGTTCAGCAGCTCTGCTCAGAAGAGCTGTAGTTTGCACCTGCCTGATGCCCTCATTCTCTCATAGGCTGGGTTCTCTGTGGTATTTGGTTCTTTGCCATGCACCACACAAGGTACCCAGAGGCACGTGAGATGCAGTTGTATCAAGAAGCATCTGTCAGTAGGAAGTGAGAGGCTTTTTTGAACTTTCCAATTTTATCTCTGATGTATTGCAAATCTCATCCCAAGGACAGACTTCTACTTCCTGCTTTATTCAACACAGGCCTCTGTCCAGGGAGACAGTATTTTTGGTATCCATTGGCAAACTCACACAGTCATGGCAGTGTAGTTTGATCTCCTCCCAGACACAAGTGCAAAGCTGTGCAAAGATGTTCTTTTCTGACACAAGAAGAGCGAGTTTGTCTAATGAACTGCTTTTACCACTTTCTGAAGTGCTTTTATTTTCCTTAAACCTCTAACATCCAAATTTATTTATTTATTTAGGCTGGGAGGCCCAGTGAAGCTTGGAGCTGTGTGTGGGGGTGTTTCCCTGAAGGAGCTGCTGGTGAAATAGATACAGCTGAGCTGACTGCAGCACTTCTTGCTAGAGCACACCTGTCAAGAGGATGAATGAACAGCATGGTAAGGATGCGGTATATCTTCAGTTTAAGAAAGAAAACAGCTCTCTGTGGTCAATCTAGAACTGAAAGTGTCAGCCTCAGAGTACACCGTGTTAATCCATGGTTTCACAATCACAATACATTCTGATTAGTATTGCTGTGGAACAGGCTGCTAAAGCAAATTCCAGGACACTTCTGTTATCTTAAAATGAGAGCCTGGGGAACTTAAGACTGAGCTGATCACTCTGAGCTGTGCTGTGTAAACTTGTGCATGTCCAGTATGCTTGAAAATGAATTAATTTGCATGAAAGGAAGAGTATCTGTGTCCACATCTAATAAATATCTCTCTTCCCAAGAATTTTGAAAGTTGCAAAATCCTCAGGTCAAACCATGCTTGATCCCAACTGTGCTCTAAAACACTGTTCAGGCTGGTAAGGGCAGCAGAACCATCTTCCAAATGGGCACTCCTTGGTACCAAGTTTTTTGTGTTTTGTAATTTAGCTAAACTGAATATCCATTGTGGGAGAATTGTGTGTGCTTTTATTTCATTTCCACTGAATAATGAATATAGGCTGTTACTGATTACATTAATATGTAATTATTACCATGAGAATCTAATCCCCTGAAACCATTGGTCACTTGGTGTATGTTCATTTAGCTACAAATGCTTTTCGTTTTCCATTTGTATTTTATCATTTAATTGCTTTACTCCATTCAACATCACCCTTTTTTGATCTCCTGTTAATCATTATTTGGAATGAGAATTAGCCCTTAAGCAAACAGTGCCCCAAATCTATCTTGCTTCTTTGTGTGTAGTGATGACCTTGTGTTGGAACAGAAAAAAAACAATTAGCTATCGCTTTAGATTTATAATAAAAATTCTCTAATTATATTTGAAAATTGCAGTTGAAAAAGAATCTTAACATTTATTCATATTGTAAATCAACAGGACCTCAGACTCTACAAAGCCCTGATCTTCTGAAAGTGTAATGGAAATCTTTCTTTAAAAATAAAATAAAGTCCACATCTCATTTCCTGAAAGAGAAATCAGGTAGCTGTGCAATGTCCCCCTGGCCTGTGTATTTGTTTTTCTTCCATAGGAGTCTTAAATGTGAGGGTGAGGAGGTGTCAGGGTTGTCCAGAGTCCTTTGGAGAAGGCCAACACATGCACAGCTGGTGCTTGGTGCCCACTTGAGAGAGGCAGTGCTGTTCCTCTCAGTAGAATGGCATTTTCTTCTCTGAACTGAACTGGGTTTGTAAGCCCTTGATGTTTACACTTTTTTGTCTAAAATTAATGAGCATCCACCCCCTTAAAAATCTCATTAAAGTTTGGTTTTGGCAGGTTGCCTCCCAGAGTCTTGACAACACTTTGGGTGCTGATGATCTGATCGAAGTGTCTTCTCATTCCCTCCTCCTTCCCCATCTGTTTGTATCCACCTCTTGTGTTATAAAAATAAACTGTTTGGGGTAGGAACTGGTTTTTCTCCTTTTGCTTGGTGCAATGCTGTCTGGTGCACAACTCCTCTGCAGTATGATTTAGCCTCTGCTGGTCGCTGCTACCCTGCCTCCTCTAGCCAAGCAAGTTCCTTGAGCAGCTCCCTGCTGCAGCACAGGATAGTGCAAGTAATTGTCCTGCTTACCTGTGTGTAACCTGCATCTCAGCCCATCCATCTGTAGCAATAACTCTGGCAACTTGCTTAAAATCAGAGGTTGAAGCAGAGGGAGTATTGAGAAGGTGAACAAAGGTATGGAAGATTAGAGGCTCTGGGTCTTGCAGGGAAGGACAAGGTCTGGTCCCTCCTCTTCAGTATAATCGAGTCGTGAAGGGGGGAGTGACAGGAAGCTTGTGCACTGGAAATATGAAAATGTAGCTGTATTTTAAGAAATTCTAAGATACTTCCTAAAATGCTGCTCTTTGTCTTCTGATTTACCATGATCTGAGATGATGGAAGGAACAAAGGAGGGAAACTGGAAGCTCAAACAGCCTACACTAGCAAACACTGTACTTATGTGCCTTTGGATATGTTAAAGTTAGGATTCATTAAACAGAGCTTGAGGGTTGCAACTATCATTTAAAAATGCCTCCTCTAAACAAACAAGAAATAGTATAGCCAAATGCAAGTAAGAAAAAATATAAATCAGTGGTTCTTTGCTAACCCTTCATTAAGGATGTCTGCAAGCAGTTTTACAGCAGACTACATAGTCATGTCTATTCAGTGGGCTTTAAGAAATTGGGGAGATTGTTGTTGTTTAGGAATATCAAAGAACTTTTGTAGTTATTATATAGCTTTGGTGAACAAATCATTAATCATCTTAAAAATAACTGGGGGCAGATAACATAATAAAGTGCCCCTGGGATGTGTTTCTGTTTTATCAGCCAGCAGTTATAAGTAAAAGGCAGAAATGGTGCTTCTAGCTAGTTTTGTTTAAAACAGCAGGAATGAAGAAAGAATTATCAGGACGGGAAACACATTAAATCATGGCAAGTAAATTCCTTTCATCTTGAGTATGGCTGCTGACTGTCAATAACTGAGATTAATGCTGCAGGAAACAAAGCAGAAATGTTAAATATAATGACATTTAAAAGAAGAGCAATAACCAGTTTATTAAAGGGAAGTGTTTTGAACTCTGTGAGGTTGGCAAACGGAATTTCAGAAGCATTTAAGATACTTTGACCTCATCTAAATCATCATAGGAGTAAATTGAAAAATATCCTGTAAATGAGATCTGGTGTCTCTTTGTATTATCTCCTCTAAGGGATATACATACTCCTAATTTTTAAAAAGGACTCAAATGTCCTGATGAGCCTGACATTCTGTATCCACAAAAATTGCCACTTTGACAACTTTCTTGTGTGAACACACTGAAATAGGTGCTGCTTTAGCAGTGCATATTCCATTAACAATGAAACTGAGCTGAGTGTTCTGTCCCACAGCTTTCTCCCTTTCCCAAAATTAATTGTAGCTCTGACAGTGCCCAGTGCTGCTGTCCATGGTGAAGTATGGAGCTGGGCTCTGAGCTGGCAGCCAGGGAGAGTATGCAACAGTTTTTAGTTCAGCCTCTGTTTTGGTCAGTGGTGTGTCTGTAACGTGGTGTCTCTCCCTTTCAGTGAATTAAATTCTTACAAGTTCTGCAAAAATTATCTTTAGGACTTCTAAGGCTCATTGCCTTGGGAAACCTAGCCAAAATTGTCTCATGGTCTAGTGACCTTGGCAAAGACAAAAAGCCTCTTAGTGGGAGAGCTGGAAGGAATTTCACCTCGAAGAGCTTGGTTGGCAGAGATGTTGATTAGAGGCTGTGGATGATGATCTCTGTAGTTCAGGGTGCTCCAAGAGTTAAATACATCCTACTCTAGAAATTTCTGTGGAACCCTAAGGATGGAAGGGCCCATCTATGTAGAGAAGGTGACTGTAGAGGGACCTTTGGTCTATGACTGTGCTCGTGAAGGAGAGGACTCTAATGATCTTACTGAGTACACTGTCATTTGCCACTCCTACCACCTTCCCCTCTCTGCTTGAATGTTGCATTTACTCCAGTAATTACTTCTCTGTTAATGTGACCAGTTTCTGTCACCAGCCCAACTGTGCATGTCAGTCTCTTTGAGGTGTACCTGTTTCTTTTAATGAATTAGTTTCAAGACTAGATAATCCTTGTGATCATCTTACCTGTCCTTCTGTATAACAAACCATGCAACTTCCCTGAAATGACTCAGTGATAAGAGGGAGGTATTTCTCTCTAATGTTCATTTAATTGGGTGGAAAAAATAGTCTTTTAGTCCATCAGTATTTCAGAAGAAGCCCACCCTAACCTATGATTAACTGAGAGTAATAAACATTTTGGGAATAGAAAGGTAAAACTAATAGATTCAAATAGGCTTTTGAAGTTCATTAGTAGAAGTAACTAATTTCTCTGACAATTTCTAGTTTTCAGACACAAGTCTTAAAGGGACACTTGGCCTTTTTTTCCTGCCTAATGCATGAGTAGCACCTGTTAATATAAACAGGATGTCTTTAGTAAAGCTCCTGCGTGGCTGTGGATACGTCTGTCAGCAGTGCAGAGCTGCACAGGTACCTCCACAGGCAGCTTGGGCCACCCTGTTAATCATGGGAGCTGACTTCATACTGTTTAGAGTACAAAATGAAGTTTGCCATTGTAGTACCTTGTTGAGAATGAGTTGCATCAAACGGTATGAAAGTGTTTCCTCTTAAGGGCAGCGTGAAATTCTGCTCCTGTCAGAGACGAGAAGGTGTTCAGATGTGAGTGGGGCCAAGGACTATTGATGCATAATGGAACGTGGCCCTTGAACGTGCTCGTTGGGGAGCAGCTTTCGTGATGATGTAGTAATTAGTCCTCTAAGAGGAACATATTCACAGGCATTTAACAGCAGCTGAAGAAACGGCAGCAACAGAGGGGATCAAAGAGAAATGACATCAAGGCTGATGGCAAAGGGGGTGGTAGCTGGGGTAAGTACTATTGACCTTAGATCTGAAGAACATAGATGATGGTTTCTCTGGAGCAGGCAACATACCCATTATGTTGTTTAGTAGCTCTCCTTTTTCCTTGACAATAATGAATCTCTGCAACTCTAATAGAATTTATAATTAGACACAACTAAAGCTTGAGTGAAGAAATTATTTCAGTCTAATACAGTGTAGGAGAAGAGTTTACATGTCTCTGTTCTTCGGAGGCTCTGTGACCTGCTCTGGGGAACCAGAGGCTTAACTGCATTCAGGGACTTGGTGGGGCTGGACGCCCTTGCTTCAAGGCCCCTTTGTTAATTAAGGAACTAGAATTGCTTTGTGCCATGTGTTAGCCCATGTCTAACAGTATTGCTTACAGGATATGGGTCTGCTTGTTGATCTTATCTGCATAACTATGAGTTGAGAGGGGGAATGAACAGTGCTGGAGACTGCTGGTGGCTTTTCATGGATGCAGACTCTGTGACCTTGCTGTTGGAATGGGTCATGAACATGGCTCAAACTAGAACCAAGTCCAGCTACACGACCTAAGCAACTGCATTCT